ACCTTTCCTAAATATACAGATTGTGGTCAGCAATCTGAGGAAATAAACAGTGCTCCTGGAGCCTCCGACAAGACTGGAAAGGCATAGATGGGCATGAAGAAAAGAGGGGAAGGAAGAAAAGTAAGTAGAAGGTTGAGAGAGAAAAGGAGGAATGATAGTGGTGTGTGGTTGCCGTGGCTAAGGGATTTCTCCCACAGCAGCCAACCTGATGAGCCTGCCTTTGCTTAAGCAGATTGGTCCTCAGACAAAGTCTGCCAAAGCCTTTCCAGCTTGGAACAGCTTGTAAGAGCTTTTGCTCCAGTGGCACAGACTTTGAAAAGCCAAGGTGCCACATCACGGTGAGGCTCTAGAAGGGGTATTGTAATCAGTCTTCAGTTGTAGTACTGACAAGGGATGCCAGAAAGCACCTGAGCCCTCTTCCAGTCTCGTTCTGGTTGTGAATGGTGGTGTTGGAAAAATAAAATATTCCGCATTCATTTTCTCTGAATCTTCTCAAACTGGTTTTACATGAGGTGACATTGGAACCCAAGTGGAGTAGAGGAGAAAGAGCTTCCTTTCCTAGAAACCCCCGTCTATTCATTTGGTATCTTGGGTGATAGTGATTCTTGCTATGCCCAGGTCAGCTTTGAGGAAGGACATTCACCAGAAAAGCTTTCTGCCTCATGTTACTGATGAGGGGCAAAAGGGCAACACTACCTATCCCTTGAAGATAAAAAATATGGCGGAGACCCTGATGTTGAGAGTCAGCCCCTTCCTAATCTCATCAAGACCAACTTCTCTCTTCTCTTTCCCTAGGCTACGAGTTCTTTTTCACTGGTTCTTGGCGCTGTTGGGCTAACTTGATGAAAGACCATGGGAGCTAAAGGAAACAGCAGCAACTCACATTTCAAATTTCTGTCTAGATATTACATAAAACCTGAACTTTGGGGGCATAGTGGTAGAACTGAGTCCCCAGAGCCGAGTCTGTATTCTTGGGAAGTAGGCAGACAGGCACAGCTTAGTGGGAGGGTAAGACTGGCTCACCTCTAAGGTTAAGGCCTCTAGGTATAAAGAATGAGTTTAAATGTTAGGGATTCTGGCCAAAAGTGGAATGAGCTACCTCTAGGGGGTGGCAAGTTCTCTCTCCTTGGAGGTCTTCAAGCAAAGGCTGGACAAGTAGAAGTTGGGTATTTATAGTATAGATTCCCTTCATGTAGGAGTTGAACTCTAGAGCCACTGAGTTCTCCTTTACACTCTCCAGTTCTGTGGTTCTGAGCCTTGTTAATGATTAACTGTATTCTCCTAATGGGTTACTGATAGGAGCTTATCTGCTTTTATTGGCTAGTGGTACACTGCCCATGTGGACTTTGGCAATCATAACCTGGGTCAGCTTGCAAACAACAAAGGAGCAAACAGTGAACAGTGGTAGGCCCATGCAGAAATCATTGGGCCATGCCCTGCCCTGTCTACCCTTATAGTTTGAGCAATCACTTTGGCAAGTGCTTCTTACTGCTACATTTGGGGTTGCCATGTTGGCTGGGAAGGCCACTCTTGCATTTTAGTTTTAAAGAACAGAGATGAATACTGCCTTGGAGTAGAGAAGTCTTCTAGGTCTCATGGTCCTGAGAGCTACACAGGATCCATATTGTAGACAGGTTTAAAGCATTTTCTTCTTCACCTCCTTTAGCTCTTTGCTTCTAGTCCTGGTCTTGATGTCGATTAACTGCCAGTAAACAAACTCCCTAAACCTATGCCAGTTATTTCAATGTATAGTCCTAGTTGCTTGGGACTGAGAAGGTAAGTAACCTACTTGGCTAGGGTTACATAGACCAGTATGTATCAGAGGGAGGCCCTGAACATCAGGTTGATACTTAGTGCAGCTCTATCCACTTGAGCATCCTGCCTTTTTCTGTACTGGGAGACTCTCTCTCTGTCCCCTTCTGTCTCCGTCTCTCTCTCTCTCTGTCTTTCTCCCCCTCTTCCTCTCTTCCCCTCTCTCCTTCTCCCTCCACTTTCATTTCTCCATAGAGTAAAAGGGAGCAGGGCAAGATTGGATCATTCCTGACCTGTCCATTTAAAGATGAAATTAGAACCCAGGAGTCCCAATTTTACTTGGGTGTTTCATTGAGTAAGACATTGTGCTAAGTTAAGGACTTTGAATCCTATTCCTAACTCTGACATAGAGTGTGACACTCTACTGTCCTGCTTCAGTTTCCCTTCTCTAGGTGGAGATGAATCCCTATACTTCTAAAACTTTAAAGTGCTCCATAAATTTATCAGTTATTATTGTACCCACTTTTCCCAAGATGCTGTGACTAAATAAAACAAAGTAAACTACTCGGCATTCCAAAGACAAAAGGAGTCAGCTATAAAGAACTATTATAAAGATGAAAGGGGTCCCCTGAAGGGGAATTCAGTTGGGTGACCCTGTTACTTTGAAATTACTTGGAAAACAGAAGGAATATAATCTTCCTCATCTGAGACACACCTTAATTATAGGGTGTGAGGAAAGCTGGAACTTTGAAAAACCAAGGTCTGCCCATCCCAAGAGCAAATAACAGTGGGAATAGCCTCTTTGCCCTTTTCTTTCTAGAATTAAACAATTTCAGATTGCTGAGCAGAATATGAGCTACTTCATCTCTTCTGGGGGTGGGTCAGGGTGGAGGAGAAGTGAAACTGAGGAACCCAAGAATCTAGACTCCAGAAGGTTCAGGCAAGTAGACTTGGTTAGAGGCAAGTTTGGTTTTTAATTGCATTTAAGAAAGAGGCTCTACCTTCCCTGATAGACCCAGAAGGTCCCCAACCCCATTCCAGCAAGGATGAGGCCTCCCTGAACGGCCTCCTCCCATCAGCTCTAGATTTGACTAAAGCTTATTCCCCTAGCTTCTGATTTTGTGTCTGATAACTTTGGGCCCCTCCTTCCTTCTGTGTTGGGGAGCAGAAGAGGAAAGACAACTGTGCCAGTTGTAAATTTAAAAAGCCAAGTTTCACAGGTATTAAAAAAAAGTGAGGCTAGGCTGCCTTTTACAAAATGAACATTTAATAAGTATTTTTTTATTTATAGAAAGTAAGGAGAAAACTGGGCCAGTGGAGCAAGCTTGGAGGGTGGGGTGTGGGGGCAGTTTCCCTGATGTCAGATTATAACCTGGCAAGAGTATTCCCTGGGTCCCTTATTTTTAAGTATCCCGAGCCACAACATTAGAAGAAAAAAAAAGAACTGGGAATAAATTTTTGCAGTAAGTTTCTCTGATAAAGGCCCCATTTCTCAAATATATAGGGAACTGAGCCAAACTGATAAAAATAAGAGCCATTCCCCAGTTGATAAATGGTCAAAGGATAAGAACAAGCAGTTTTCAGAAGAAATCAAAGCTATCAATAGTCACATGAAAACAATGCTCTAAATCACTACTGATCAGAGAAATATGAATTAACTCTGAGGTACCACCTCATTCATATTTATCAGATTGGCTAAAATGACAGAAAAGGAAAATGATAAATGATGGGGAGGGGGTGTAGAAAAATTAGGACACTAATGCACTGTTGGTGGAGTTGTAAACTAGTCCAACCATTCTGGAAAACAATTTGGCACTACGCTCAAGGGTTTATAACACCTCCAATACCCTTTGATCCCACAATACCCCTACTAGGTCTGCATCCCAAAGAGATTAAACAAAAGGGAAAAGGATCTATTTGTACAAAAATATTTACAGCAGCTCTTTTATGAGCAACGAAGTAGAAATTAAGGGGATGTATATCAATTGCAGAATGGCTGAATAAGTTGTGATATGTGATTGTGATGGAACACTACTGTCATAAGAAATGATGAGCAGTATGGTTTCAGGAAAAACCTGGAAAGACTTACATGAACTTATGCAAAGTGAAGTGAGCAGAGCCAAGAGAACATTTTACACAAAAACAGTAATACTCTAAGGATGATCAACTGAAAGATTTAGCTACTCTGATTAGGACCCATGATGAAAAATGCCATCCTCCAGCAACAGAATTGATGAACTCTGGGTGCACACTGAAGCATCCTTTTTTTTTAAACTTTATATTATATTTTGTTTGTGTTTTGTTTTGGTTTGGTTTTTTTGCAACATGGCTAACATGGAAATGTTTTCCATGGCCTCACAAGTATAATCTTAATCAAATTGTTTTTCTTCTCGAGGAGGGGAGAGGAAAGGGAGTGAGAGAATTTGGAACTCACAATTTTTTTCAAATGTAATTGGGAAACATTAAATGAAATAAAAATAATTTTAAGAAATATCCTGAGGCAGAAATAAACTTCCTGGAGGTCAAGCACCCACTCGGGCCTGAACCTGTGAGTCCAAAATTCCTGGTGCAGAAAGGCGTCTTGGGGAAAGGGAGGCACTGAAATCTGACTGGGGTATTCCCCCCCAAATAGAGCTGGGTCGAACTCTACCTGCTGGCATCATCTTCAGTGACAATCCAGGATGGTGCTGAAAGAAGGTAGGCTTGGGTTACCCAGCCTACTGTAGTTTTATTGAATGGTGCAGCTAAACCTCTCCTCCCCCGTTCCTGCCGGAGAAAAGAGCATCCCATATTTTGGGAGTAACCACGACACTCGCATCACCAAGAGACGGGGAAGTAACCCGGTGGCTCCTCGGTATTGCGGACATTCGCTCAAGACCTCCCAGGCTTACGTATTTTGTTGCCCACCTTCACGGACCACGAGTCTGCGGAGCTCACACATGGTTAACCCTTTCTTTGCCAGAGCAGCCCCTGTGCTACGGGCTGGGGGACAGACACGCGTCGCTCCTCTCCCGGTCAGTGCCGGGGCCGAAGCTCCGGGGCGCCGATGCCCCCATCCCGGCGGGAGGCCCCCAGAGCCCGGCGCGCGGCTCTCCAAGCCTCCGGGGCTCTCCCGGGCGCGCGGCGCGGGGCGGGGCCGGGAGGAGGGGCGGGGCCGGGCCGGGGCTCCGCGGTGGGTGGCCCCTTGCTGCTGACGCGCGGGGTATATAGTCGGGCATGCGCGCCGTGGCAGGAGACAGGCGGGGGGGGTCGGGGGCGGGGAAGGGGGGGCGTTCGAGCTTGCAGCCGGTCGAAGTGCGCAGATCTGCCGCCGCCGCCGCCGCCGCTTGTCATCCCCGCGGTCCCGGAGGGCCCAGCCGGTGCCAGCGCCGCGGAAGCTGCAGGTGAGCGAGCGAGCGGGCTGGCGGGCTGCGGGCTCGGCCCGGGAGACGGCGCGCGTGGCGGCCCCCTGGGGCTCCCCGCTGGAGGGGGGAGCATCGCGGCGGGAGGGGGAGCCGGGGAGCCGCTGCTCCGTTGTCCCGAGCCCTCCCCGCCGCGCGGAGACAGCCGGGCACCGCGTGAGCCAGGGACGCGCCCGTGACCCCGGGGGATGGGGAGATGCTGCAGGGGACTGGGCGGGGGGCAGCCCGTGGCCTGGAGCAGCCGCCTCACCTGTACACGCTGTACCCAGGTTGTCAGTGGACCCTGATGAATGTCGCAGGCAGGACTGGACGGTCCCCGTGGGCGCAGAGGGCAGAAGAGGAGGGAGAGACGGACACGTCTTCGTCCGTGGTAGGAAGTTCTCGGAGGTAGCTTCCTGAGGCTCTGATTTCCAACCTTGCCGCTGCCGCTGCTGCCCCTGCCTCCAGCCTCCTGCCTTCTTTGTGCCTGGGCCACCTCCCAGCCATGTGAGAATGCTGCTGCCCCCAAACCTTCCACCTCGGTCCTCGAGAGGACGGCCCGGGAGCCCAGGAAGCAGACCTCGGGCAGCCCACGGGGGCACAATGCAACTCAGTAAACGTTTATTAAGCGCCTACTGTGTGCCTGGCACTGCCCACCACCCCACCCCCTAGGATTTTGTGCACTGGGGATCAGGCTTCCAAGAAGGCCAGGGTTCCCATGCCTGGAATAGCTCTGCCTTTAAGAATCCTCTTTTCAAGGCTCCTCCATGTAGCCTTCCCTGGTTTCCCCCTCTCCCCAGTCACCTCCTCCCCAACTCCCCCCAGCTGAAAATGTTCTTTCTCATTCTTTTCTATAGCTTTTTGGAGTTCTCATTGGCCCACATTACACTCTACCTTGTATCCGGTCAAAGGGACAACGTGTTGGGTTTTCACTTCTCCCCCAGGCTATGGGTTCTTCGAATTTTGTGTAGAATATAAGCTTTCACACTTTTTAAATCTGTAAGTGCCTAGCAGATACTTGGCACATTAATATGAAATTAATATATGTTTGTTGGATGAGCTCTGGGACTGTCATTTTCCATGTTTGTAACCCCAGGACTTGGCACTTGGCCTTGAACTTAATAGGGGCTTAATAAAAATGTGTTGATGAATTGAATTAAGGAAAAGTTTCTCTTTCTCATCTTCTCCCAGAGCTGCTGGGCTCAAGCCTTAGGAGGAACTTGCCAATGAGGTGATAGGGTCCTGAGCAAGCAGAGTTGCCAGCTGATAGAGTTGCCTAGGTGACTTAGATAACTCTGGGTGTATGTTTTGGAGTGGAGACTATGAGCCCTCTTCTCTGGCCTTGGGGGTGGGGGAAGGGGCTGCAGAATTACAAGAATAGCTCTAGTCTGACTCTGCTGTGTGGAATACAGATTATAGGTAGCAAGCCCTCATTATGAGAAGTCATTTCTTTTCCCCTTCAAACAAGTGCTCTTTGTTTCTTCCTGGGCTGTTAGGGAAGTGAACCCATCCCTAGTCATTGGAAGGCAAGAGAGCTGGGTTCTAATTTTGGCTTTAGACGGTGTGGCCTACAGTGGAGAGAGTGCTAAATTAGAACAGGAGTAAGGGAACATGGATTAGAATCCTGATTGTGCTACTTGCTATCTGTATGGTCTTGGACAAGTCATGTAACTGTCCTGGGCTTGTGTTTCCTCCTCTGTAAAATTCCTGGGTTGTATAGATAGCCTCCAAAGTCCTTTTCAGCTCCGAATCTACAATCCCTTGATCTTTGATACCTCTCTGGACCTCAATTTCTCTTCATCTGAAAAAAATGAGGGAGTTACAGTGAGATTATCTCAGTGTCTAGCATAAGGCATGGCTACTTTATCAACATAGAGTGAATTGACTGATTTCTTACATACCTAAGATCCTTCAAAGGAATAAATCTTATTATTTATGATCATTTGAAATCAGAACAACCCCTGGAAATAAGATATGGGGTTAGGCTTAAGGGAACATTTCTTCTGAGTCAAGAAAGGAGAGACAGGGTGGAGTCATGTAGCAGTTAGTAACTAGAACCAGGAATTCTTGCTCCTAGTTGTGTGATCAGTTTCTTTGTCTAATGTTTTTGCCCATGGAAGTAAAGCTTCTCTTAAGCTGTGCTGGATGACTGGTAGTAAGAGACGTGGGTTAGGAGCTTCTCTTTTGGGAAAGGGATAAGAAAAGAGATTGCCAGCCCCTTCCTTTAGTCTGAGGTGATGGGGACAGAAAGTTCAGGATCTGGAGATTTTCTCTTCCTCCAAAAGATCGCTTCCTGCTCAGCCCAGCATGCTTTTGTCCCCCTTTCCCTGTTCCCAAGAGTGTGGCAAAATAAACAGAGGCAACAGGATAGAGCTGACTCAGGAGGGCAGCTAGAAGGTAAGGCAGCAGTGCACGTCCATGTGGGAGGACCAGGTCAGCAACTCCAGTCAGAGAGCATCAGTAGTGGGACTGCAGAAGGAAGCTCTCTCAGGAAGAGGGGAAGTGGTAACCCACCACCTCAGTGGCTTATGCTCATTTGTTTGTTCATTCAGAAGCTTTTTTTTTTTTACTTTTTAGGCAGTTGGGGTTAAGTGACTTGCCCAAGGTCACACAGCTAGTAAGTGTCAAGTGTTTGGTCTGAGGCCAGATTTGAACTCAGGTCCTCCTGACTTCAGGGCCGGTGCTCTATCCACTGTGCCACCTAGCCACTCCTGTTCATTCATTCAGTGTGGAAAAGCTTCTGTGTACTCTTGTGATGGGCAGTGAGAGAAGAAATTTACAATCTTTTGTTGGGGGTAGGGGAGAGAAAGGAGCAGGAAGAGGAGAGGAGGGAGACGTGAAGCACACATCTATATTTTAAGTACTTCTGGGATCTGTGACTTCTTCAGTGTGATTGCTCCCTTCACCAGGGCAGGTCTCAGAACCTTTGGGCAGTAGTAGATAGTATTCAATAAACATTTATTAAGTGCCTTCTATGTGCCAGGCACTGTGCTTGATATTAACAATCATAATTGGCATTTGGTTTGGAAAGTAAATGTAAAGACATTATCACATAAGTGTTTCATGACCACCCTGTAAGTTAGTCACTACAGGTTTTATTATTCCCATTTTACAGAGGAGGAAACAAACTGAGAGGGCGAGCAGTTTGCCTATGTTCACTCAGCTAGAAAGGGTTGGAGGTAGGATTTGAACCCAGGTTTTCCCTGCCCCAAGTCCACTGCTTTTTTGCTGCGCCATGGTGCCTGAAAAATTCCTCACCTTGTGGCCAACCTGAGAATGATTGTCTCCAAACTGATCTGTATTCTTAAGTTTTTTGAAGTTATTTGTCTTTACAATATTGTTTATTCTCCTGGTTCTGCTCACTTCATTCTTCGTTAATTCACAGAAGTCTTCGCAGGCTTCTCTGAAGTCATCCTTTGTGTCATTTCTTACAGTGCAATGATATTCCATTACATTCACGTGCCTTCATTTGTTGAGCCATTCTCCACTTGGTGGGCATGCCTTTAGTTTCCAGTTCTTTGCCACCTAAAAAGCTGCTTTAAGTAATTTAGTGCCTACAGGTTCTTTTCCTTTCTTTGATCTCTTTGGGGTATAGGCACCAGGCCTGTTCTGAAATCCTTTCCAACTTGGTAGGGCCTGCCTGAGCTTGCATAGTGGACCCAAGGTCACTCTCACATCAGACAAGGTGTACATACTTTCCATGTAGAGTAAAAGCTAAAAAGCAGGATTGGGCATCACAAGGGCAGTACAGGTCAAATACCCAATGAGTAATCCAGGCAGTGGTTAAGTGCCTGAGTGATTCAGAGGGGTTAGCATGGGTTGGGCCTTCAGGGAAGACTTTAGGGGAATTAGGACTTGAGCTTACCCAGAAAGGATGAGTAGGATGTGGACACTCAGAGAGGAGTGGGTGAGAGATGTGGAGAAGAGACTCAGAAGTAGAATGTTCTCATTTATGGGGAAGGGTAGGCTGCCTCCGCCTGCCTGCTTGGCCTCTTCTCTCACATATGTCCTGCAGAGTGTCCACAGCCTGGCCTTCCTCCCTGAGGATTTTGGTCATCTTTTCTTGGCTGATTCAGTGGTGACCCAAGGCAAATCATGCTCTGGTTTTAAGAACTTCCTCCCTGACCTTCACCCTAGCCCAAGGTCTCCAGAGAATCTGCCACAAATCTCTTGCCACCTTCTGATAAAGGATCTCTGAAGAAATAGATCAGAGCACATTCCCCTGTTTTCCTCCCTGTAGGAGGCTGGTTAGGAGTAGACCCATTGCTGTGTTACCCTGAACTTCCGTCATGCCTTTCTTTATCTCCTACACCCTCACTTCTGGAAGGATCAGGGTCACCTTAGGTGCTTTTGTGGGGTGAAGGTGGGGTATAAGCCCAGGCCTTGATAGAGGGGGAGCATTTAGATAGGAGGAGAGGAGGAGGGAGGACATTTCTGGTGGACGGACTGATACAGGAAAAGGGCAAGGGGCGATGTGGTAAAAGGTATTGCAGTAGAATGGACACTTTGGGGCATGGGTTCTTGTCCTAGTGTTCTCAGCATCTCACCAAGGGCCTAGCATGTAATAGATATTTAATAAAAACTTGATGAATTGAACGTATGTTCAGGGAATGGAGAATTAGTCCAGTTGGTCTAGAGCAGAAAGATTGCGTAGAGGATTTGTAAGTGGTACAGCAAGAAAGGTAAGGTAGGAGCCTGGCCTAATAATGGTTTGCTAGGTCCTGATTATTGATGGTTATGCATAGAGAAATGCTGTCTTTGCCTCAAGAGCTGTTGGGCTAGTGGTCAAGGACACCTTCCAGGTTGTCTGAGTCTATATTCCAAGATTTGGTCTCCAAATCTTTGGGTGCCTGAATCCCCAATCACCTTATCAGGGAGTGAATGGCACTGGAGAAAATGGTTCGTGCTGTTCTGACTTTCCTAAAAAACAGATTTACCTATACCAAAAAAGTCAATATTTTATGGAAGGAAAATGCCTTTTTTCCTTGGAAGGGGGCCGTCCAAGTAATCAAATTCTGCTTAGAAAGCATCCTGATAGCAACAACAGAATCTGAGCAGGAATAAAGTTTTGCTAGTTGCTTCCTGTCCTCTGCTCTGAAGCCTGTGCTGAGAGAGATGCCCACCTTTTCCCATTAGTCCTGGCTACGTATTCAAAGTCATTGTTCAGGGGATTTTGTGGTGTTGGGTTTTTTTGTTTTGTTTTTTTTTTAAGTGTCTCCTTAAGGTTCTGAAGATAACTCCAAGAATTGGAGCTGCAAAGATTTTGAGCTAGGGAACAATACAAAAGCGCTCAAAGAATCTCAGAAATGAAGAGGGGAACAGCTGCAGGCTAATAGGTCTCCTACCACCACCACTGATAAGTAAAGGTCCAACCTCCGCTGGAAGTCCCCA